TCGGTCGGTATGAACGCATCTTGGACGTCGTGCGCGTTCATCGGACCAGCAGCAGCAGTAGCAGCCGCAGCGGAGAAAGAATCTCCTCCCTCATTACTGGCGCTTCCCCCAGCGGCAGTCGTCGTATCAAACGACGACCCACGTGTGGGATTCCCCGCCGGTGGTGCGCCCTGAACGCTGCGAATGAACTGGTCAACAACGCTCGTCATTTGACCAGCTGGCTGGTAATTCTTAGACATTAAGCTGATACTCAGCCTCAGAGACGACAGCTTCTCGATCAGAATTCTCCGCTCCTGTGCGTCGGTCTGTAGCACGACCTCGCCCATTAAGGCGGTCGCGGCTGTCCCCGCATGTTGCACCGCCGTCCCATACACCTTCTCCAGGTCGAACCGCGTCCGGTAGTGCTCGAACATTTCGGCAATCTGCTTGGCGCTCTCCGTGCAGCTGTTGCGGGAGAGGTTGGTGAAGTGGCTATTCGCCTCTTGTACCTTTTCGTTGTATCGTACAAACGGCCGGTGCAGGAGAATCATCGCTGCGTGGTATTGTGTGCTTTGGACACGTTAGCAGGCATGCCGCAGAGCTGTAAGTTACTCGAGATTTAACTTACTGTAAAAGGTAATATGGAGCCGGCATGGCCGTATGCAGCTCCGTCGACCACTTTAAATGTTTCGGAAGCGATGACTGCCAATCTCGAAGCTGCTGATCGATGGCGGCTAGCTTATAGTACAGCTCGGCGTTCTTGGACGGCCTTGGCCCTCTCAGATCACACAGTTGGCTGACAATTTCCATCATCCGCAAGAGTGCCTCGTATATCCTAGTGGTTGATTTCTTCTCCTGCCAAGACCGCCTACATAAGATCATCCGGCTAAAGTCGAAGGACAAGCAGCTGGGTGCGACGTCCGAGGTCTTGATCGTTGTAGGTCGTCCAAGATACAAGGACCAGAGTCTTGCTTTATTAGAAACCAATCTTGTGACAGCTACAGATCGATTCAATGACACTCACCTGTCAGTAGCCATACACGCCCACAGAACCATGTGCCGAATCTGGGTCTCGCGTTCAGGGAGGAAAAGTGAGCTGGGGTCGACATGCAGTCCAGCATCAAATATCATCCTGAAGCACATCCCTGTTGATAGTTAAGAGGCCGCCACTAACAATACATTATTGACGCATCTTACCAGTGAAAAGCCAGCCGGTATCGTCGTTTCCACAGCAAAATTCGAGCCCTCCCAACAGCTGGAAAGCCTGTATCGACGGAATGCCGCCAGGGCGGTCGATTTCAAGCTTTGCCAGGGACTTGGCCTTCTCATGCAATGTGGACGACGCATACCCTGGGAGAGTCAAACGCCGAATATCCTCCCTTGTCTTGTCAGCATACCTGAAGCCCGTTGCAAGCATCGTCAGATGGAGGAAAGTGGAATAGAACTCGACGCCGCCATGCTGTTGATCGCGCTGGAACATATCCAGATGCACCAGATGGATGACGGTGTTGTGCTTGTCCCAGAACAGCTCCATCAGGTAGTTGTGCGTATCTGGACTCAGATCTCGGACGATCAGGACGATCGGCCAATGCGTGTTCCGGAACTGCGGATTCGGACCGGATCCAACACGGGACAACACGTTCATGTGTGTAGTCGCGCCGAAATATCGTACTCTCCCCGACGCCATGTCGAAGCGGATCGCAGACGGGATAAGCTTGGATACCACGGAGGTGGCCTGTTCAGGACATGACTTCCCATCATCATTTGTGCTGGTATTATCCACCGAAGCTAATCTCGAGGAAGAAGCCTCTGGTGATGTGTACGGCGGCGGTTCTTCTGGAGCCTGTTCGAAAGGTTCCGTGTCCAACGGCTTTGGCGTGCCCTTAGCCTCCTTCAGCTGGCTTTCGAGATGGTTTATCCGCTGCATCAAGGTCGACTCTATCGCCTTGGCAGATGTACGGCTACATTTTCACTCTGTCAGTCTTGACGGGATAATCTTCTCCCTCACATGCTTTAGGTGAAAGAAGTCTCTACCTTTTTCGCCCATCCTTGTCGTCGTAAACGCATTCTTGATCAGTGTCCCGACAACTCTGGCATTTCTTCGACTCGGGGCCTAGCACACACTAATAACCCAAATCAGCACGACCACACTTCGCTAACACATCACAACCCTTACTCGAATCCGAGCTTTGCGACACTGCATGCAAGCCGCAGTAGCTCGGTGCCTGTGTCTAGCCGGTGTCTTGGGGTCCATCGTCCAGCGTCTAACCCAGACACCTGTTCCTTGCAGGGAGAACGGCCCAGTTCTATGAATCGTAGGCAGAAACTATCCTGGGGTAGATGTTTTGTAACGGGCGCGTTCAGATTGGGTGGCATATTTCACGGGGGGGAATCTGCGCTCGAGTCACTCTCCCATCCTGACAATATCACCCCGTAGGCCAGCCAGATCTAACAATGCCCATCCTCGCCTCCTCATTCGTAGATGCAACTCTGCCGGATAGCTTCTCCGTAGGGCTCCATCACCCCGCCCTCATGGTGCCTGACATTACCTAAATACCCCAGACTTTAGAAGAATGCGGAGAACGCTGATCAAGATACTGACGCAATGCGCCTGCAATCACACCTCGCCACCACCCAGGAAGCATAGCCAAAAGGGCATGTGATTAAAATTTAACAGACCCGAATTAGCTGGTCCATCTTACATTTCCAGTCACCTGTCGGTGCCGAGAACAAGAATCCAACCGTCAATCATGGTGTAGGATACCTTGGTGACATCTACTATAGGTTAGGCGGCGCCAAACTAGAGATCGGCAAGACTAGCACCTCCCCCACCACGGATATGGATTTCCACAAAGGCAGCAACCTACATCCCTCGATCTATGTAGCACGTCTGCCAAGGGTCGCTAGTAGATGCGGCTTCCTTCCCCATCGAGAAAGAAAGCCAGTATTTGGCTCGCTGACGGAGTTACACCCCGGACAGATTCGCCCTTTCGCTATCTCGGCCAGTCTTCCCTGCTTTGCGCCCGCCTTGGCCCGCCTCGAGCTGTGCTGCTAACAATTTCCGGATACCAGAGCGTGCTTATGCAGGGGGTCAGATCGCACAAAGTTTGTAGACTGCGACCACCTTTGGAAGGTGTCAGCCTCTATCTCTGTACTTCGTGGGCGCCCTCCAGCTGCTGGGCCCGGACCGGTTCTTGTGGCCCCGTGGAACCGGAAATTCCTCCAAAGCGATGAATTGCGTGACTCGTCGCCTTCCAGCAACCGGCGGCCGTTGTGGTTTCTCAAGATATAGAAGTCCATTTGTGATGCTGACAGTCGGTGAATGCTTGTTTTGTCATACCCCTAAGAGAGCAGGAGCTTAGGCTTCCGTGGACGACTCAACATGCAAGTCGTAACGAGCCTCTTTGTGCCATGCATAGTAGTGCCACTGCCAACAATAGAAGGGCGCAATACGTCATCGTTTGCTGGATCAGCAAAAGGTGTGGACGTATGCGTAAAGAGATGCCGCTCAGCTCTTGATTTTGGTACGCCATGACAGCCGCCCGAACAAGGCAATGCCTCGTTTCGAGCATCAAACAACATTCGGAAAGGCCGATGGATGGCATGTGAATGTCGGACTGGGAGGTAAACCATAGACTCCCCCCTAACGCACAGATAAAACTCTCATTGGAGACACAATGCACTACACGAAGCATCGGATCCAGGCACTGAGCAAGCCCTGGCCCTTGCAACCCCAGCTCAAACTTTCGTGCAGCTCATCGGAGTAGCTCACCTGGCGCTGGCTGTCGAAATGTGTCAGAATATGTGGTTTCTTCTCGACCGTGGGCCGGTTGGTGTGTTGCCGCTCACAGATGAAGTCGATAACGCCGATGTACCGGTGGCTGGACCGGTGGCCTTTTGAACGTTGGTGTCATCTATTCAGGTGGGAACGGGGCTTGATTGGTGTTATTGACAGCCCACTTCGCTCCTTCGCCGGGACAAACAAGGGGCCGGCCAAAGAGAAGACGCAATTGACGAGGTTTAGGCACCGTCGCACTGGTGGGATTCGATCATCACTTGTAACTCGTGGGGTCCCTTTTGCTGCAACTGGAGTGTAGGGCAACCTGAGTCGGATCACTTTCGGGCCTTCTCCTAACAGCCAAAACCTTGAAAGGCCGGAGCCTTGTTGAGAGTCTCACCCGATGCCTACAGCTTCTGTCAAACAGTGTCTCACCCGGGAGGCACAACGTTATTATTCTACACCAGGTGCATTTGTTGATTCAGATACCGGTCAGATTTTCAAAACAAACCCGAAAGTATGGTAGCCGATCCAGCTAGTTTAGGAAACATTTGTATAGGTAAATTTGTGAGGTAGCAACGTTGTCCGATGTATCGATTAGTTGTCGTTGCCTGTTTTTATTCGATCGCCATTATATCCCACCGGATTGAGCTAGGATAAACCGCCAAAAAGGCGCTGGAAACTGAAACCTCAATCCATGTAGTGCTATCATATTTGGGCTGCAGATGTGGTCAGGTACATATCGGGTCATTTAGCAGGCAAGTGGGTGACATTGAAATTGAGACACCCAAACGTACGTTAAGCTGCTTATTCTCCAGTATGCAACTAGTATTATCAAACTATTGAGTGCTAATAATATATGCTTAAGAGACAATACAGTAAATATTATCACTCTCTTTCGTTTTATACTACTGAATTTATTGATTTATCTTCGAGAATAAAATCACTCTTCCACTGGGTGTCTCATTTCTCCTGTCACCCACTTGGCAGGGTAGCAGATTAGACCTGGGCACGGCAGACTGTCAGCTGATGCACGGTAGACACAACCTGACACGAGCGGTGGGTTCTTGCATCCATCGTGAATTAGATTGCTCCCTCGTTTCCGCCCCCATCCTCTCTTTCGGCCGGCTCGCAAGGCATCCCCGCAGTGAGAAGAATGTTGGATGATTTCGGCCAACACAAAGTGGTGTCTGATACAGGAACTTGTGTCTGGTAGCTTGGGACTAAAGTTCGTGACTGCTTACTATTGATCCAAGTTTGTGCTGCCTTTATCGCGGAACCAGTAATCACTCTTAGTGAACTGGTACATGTAGGGCCGGGGCACAATGCTTTCCATCAAGAAGTCCTGGCCTTGGTCACTCCCGTCAAAAACGTATTGCACAGCTGGCTCTCCATTGATCTTGAGAACGTAGTTTTCTGTCACACTGCTGGAGCCAGCGAGTTGACCCCAAGCTTGGCTGGTCTTCTTAGCAGTCGAACCAATGAGCAGCGTAGCCCGTCGAAATCGGCGGAGTTCAAGGGGCATGGTCTTTCGGGCGCGGTTGCACCAAACATATTCTTTCCAATCTTCGTTGGGCCAGTAGAGATACTGGAGAGCATCCCCGGTGAGACTTTGGATGGCTTCATTTGGAATGGCGACACAAATGATCAAAACGTTGGTATTCTCACCACCTCGTATCTTGGCATACCCAGCATAGTAGTGCGCAGTTTCGAAATCTGGGGTAAAATAGAACAAAGCACGGTCAGAGCTGAAGTCGGAGGGAGTCGAGCTTAAAAGCACGCCTATATCTTGGATACAGCCCTGGGCGTCGAGGAAGATTTGTGTACGCGACTCATCAATACTCTTGAAGAGTATAGTGTAACCATCAATACCGTTTGTAGCTATGTCATTGATGGACGGGGCGTGGCCAAAAATGGATACTGGTGCTTGTGATGTAGATGCTGGCTGCTGCTCTTTCTCTGAATGGGCCACAGATATCAAAGGTCCAATAAAAGGTGCATGTCCAACTGCCTGACACTGCTGCGAGCTGCTAGGCGAGCTGTAGCCGTGACCTCTAAGGTCTTCAAGAAGTCTTTGCCTGTCTAGAGACGATTGCTGGATAGAGCGCAAAGCTCCATAGCGCATTTCCACAGTGTCCTTGCACCAATATGCACATGACTGGGTGAGTCTAATATCTGTAAAGGTTGGGTGCATGATCCTATCTTGGAAATCGGTGCTGAGGCCAAACTTATCCATAGTCAGGCGCCATTGTTCATCATCTCCATCATCAGCATCATCGCCGCGGCTATCGAATGGGCCTGTAATGAAGTCGATAAAGGACATAACGGCACCGTCTCCGTCACTATCAGTTCGTTGTTTGAAACCAATCCAGGTATTCCACCGTTCTATTGACTTATCACTGGAGAAGCCAATATACTCAAGCGTTGCGGGCGAATTTAGCCGTTGGGGAATAAAGGCCATTAATCGACTGCTCTCTGCAAGAAATAGAGAATTTCAGCAGTATGAAATAGAAGAAAGGAACAATAAATAAAGTATTGTATATTACTGGGACTCAATAATTTGATAATACCGGTCGCAGACTTGAGAATAAGCAGCTTATTGTTTGAGTGTCTCAATTTCAATGTTACCCACTTGTCTGGGTAGTATGTCAAAGGTGAAGGAGAGAAGCTGGGGTGGAATGTCCGGGAACATGATATATGCAGTGAGTGTATCATAGTTTGAATGTAACTGGCCGCGTGATACAAACCTGGCGGCTAGGTAAAAGTTTATGCACGCCCAAGATCAAGAGTTGACTAGACTCGTGTTGTGATCAGTGCCAGAGCGCCCTCACTTTGAAAGTAAACACTCGCACCACCTATCACTAATTTTATTCGGGTGATATGAAGTCGGCTGTGCTGAGTGCGGTTCTCCTCCTTATCTAAGTTGGATTCGCCGATGGGCTAAAGTTGGGACCAGGAGTAAGAAAGGGCCGAAGAAGAATATGCAGCTTTGGTGAAAGTAGGGAGAGAGTATTGCCAAGATGAATTCTTTTGGGTAGCGAGTTGCCCCTTTTGGTTGAGGAAGGCTGAAATCAAAAGATGTAATATCGCTGGCGATCAAGCCTTGGGGTCCGAGGACCATTGTTGGTGGGACTTTGCCCAATTGAAGGTTTGAATTGGGTGATTTAGCGAGGAGGCTGCTTCATGCGGGTGATCCAACATCCAACCGCCGTGGGATACAATGACGTAGCTTCGCACTTGCCGGCCGCCTTGAGCAGGTAATACAATATATGTAGCTTGATTTGTGGAAGGGCCTAGACGGCGATGCAGGGGAGCGGCAGAGACTTAGACAGCCAAGGGCTGTTGGTAGGACTGTAACGGGAACGCGATGGAGAAAATGGCGTTCAAGTGTCCAGAGCTCTCCTGCAGCCTTCGAGCTGAATATTCGGAGGCCGACGATAATCGCCGATGTACCGCGCGCAATTTACCGGCATGGCATCGATATGAGCCACCCCCTTGGCCAACGGTTTTTTCGGTGGCTTAAGAAAATGCAAATACACACCCTATCACCTAGACTGAGCCAGCCACAAACATCGGGCTTGTCAATGGTCATAGAAGATCCTGGTCCTCGTCACCTCAACGTCCAGTGCGACACCGACAGGTCTTGTGTCTCAATCTTTCCAACGAATACGCCGACGAGGGACAGTGATCGGACCTTGGTCTCATTACCGCAGTACTGCTGGGATATCCCAATATTCCATGTGCTTGAGGCGGAGGGTACCCACCAGGATGCGAATGATTCCAGCCGGAGCCCGGTACGTAGCAATCTTTAGAGAGCTATATCTCGAAACGCAGAATCATCTCGAAAGAATCAAGGTAATTCTTATAATCGATATTTGCATGCTGAAGAGCTCGAGATATAGAAACGGCCCTGAAGCGTCAATACTATGTGGCTAGCAGTGGACGCGGAAGACTGATGCAGTGGCGGGATGAATGAGCGGCCGAATATAAACAGGGGAGACAACATCCCAAAAAGCTTCTCCCTGTATCCCTGCTTACGGTCTTGGAGCACAACATGAGCGATATTTCATGCCTATATAGGTCAAAATAGTCGATGACATCTGCGAAGTCAACAAGAAGGAATAGAGTTGTATCTCAAATGTTTAGGTGACTGTGTAGGGACGAGTAAGCTACATAATCGAGCGTTGGCCAAATAGGACTTTTCAGTACTTAGTCTGACACCTGTCTGGTACATTTGATGCTACTTAGCAAATGCTTTGAGCACGAATATCTGATGTGGACTGGATGAATTATCGCCGCGTATCTAGCTGGTGCCGAAGAAGAGATTCTTCTTGAGAATTTATCCTTTCTTGAGTCGATAAGCTGGATGACCGTAGGACCATGTCCTGACTTTTAGGAAGCCTCTGGATAGGTACACTCGTCTCTGTACAAGTGGCCAACGGCTATCTGAGCAGAACAACACCGAGGCGCTCGTCTGGTCAATACCCACTCTTCGGGACTTAGGGAGAGAGATTAGATACACCCCAGCAATTGCTCAATAGGGAAAGTTGGTGAGGGTGTGTGCTATGTGCTCTCACAAAAGCCGCCAAGCAATAAACTGACGATCGATATGCAACAAGCGAAGCAAACTGGACTGATCAATAGGAATACCCGATGTGACCTCCCAAGCAGAGATCTCATTCGCTGAGCGGCGATCAAGAACAAATGAAAATCTGATCAATTACCGAAGTTGTGGTGGGTGACACTGCGCTTTGGATTTCCTCCCTCGTCGGTTCGGGGAAGGACCCAACGAATATAAAAGGGCAGGTATTTCTTCGAAGAATTGGTCCTCGAGAGTATCTTCAACCATTGAGACAGACATAGACAGAGGCAGTAACAGACAGTCTTGGACACTTCACCACTCCGAAAGACCAACAGAATACTCTGACAATGGCAAACAAACCTTCCGGTAAGTCGTGATCCGAGGTGTTCATTGCGAATAAGTGCAGTGACTGAACACTATCAAGGTACCGACAAGGGCACTTTGGCTAGCCTTGATGAGGCCAACCAGAACCCGCCAACGGGCTCAGTTGCTATCAACCGTTTCCAAGCAGAGGGTATTAATGAAAGCCCATGGAACCCGGTGCGTGTTGTCATGGCATCAGAGTTGTCCAAGGCCGATGAGGCGGACACAACAACCAAAACGGCAACCAAATGTGCTGATGGTTCAACTGCGGCTACCCAAGGATCGGCTCCCAAGTCTTGAGAGAGATCTCCGTCTCGGTGCTGCCGTGGGGCACGGAAGACCTTACTGGTTTCTGATAGCAACAATGCATTTTGAACTATTGTGATTTTGATTTCGTGTCGTGCCACGAAGTAAAATTTTGCGTGATTGAATTATCAACCTCGATTGCCAATAAACTAGATGAAAAGCTTGTGATTCTCATCGGTGGGCGTCGCTTGACTGCCGTATGTAGCACTTTTTCTTTCTTGTCGACATGACGAGAGTCTCATTGAGCCAAATTCTATGGAACTCAAGGGTGTAGATCCAAGGTGGCGAAGATGACTGTTTGCGTTAACTTGCCAGGAATCTTTATGATCATATTTGATCATGCTGGGGCACGGTACTTGGCGATGGCGATTCTCGAGGCGAAGAGGGGATGCAAACGAAGCTTGTCAACCACAAGATTGAGGGAGAGTTCCCCAGCATCAGCATATTGATTGTATTTTTGGAGAAGAGAGCAAATCGGATATGAATGGTATTCATGATAAGGTGTGTTCCCTCAGCGGAATTGGTTAAGAAAACTAGGAGGCTCTTGTTACATTTGTTGAGGAAGCGGCAGTGACAGACATCATGAGCCTCAGGGAAGGACTAACTAACCTGTAGCTCCTTCCTTTACCTCCTACGAGCTAGACAAAAGGAAATAGCGGGTCATGAAGCGCTTAATCCAATGGCTAGGCCTAACTGGATAAGGAATGATAAGGTCCCGGGATGGGATTTCCATGTGGGAAGCCCGAGATTGCGCTTATGCATATGTGAAGTGCAACATCTTATTAAGCATTAATCTTATTTGGAACTTGATGTTTGTTTATGGCACCTCTAGGATGTTGTTTTTGGGATGTACATACGGAACGGAAGGGACGGGAAAAGGGATGAACAGTGCCCTTTATCGATTGTCTTGTGCTCTTGGAATCGGTGGGCAATGAAGGTGACGACACGGAGTCTGGAAAAGGAGATTGCAGTGTAGCATTATTGATCCAACCCAGATAAAAGTTATCTATGGCCCAGCGCTCAAGGGTCGTGTCAGCGACTTACATATGGCGGCCAGGGGAAGCCAGTGCCGCCCTCGTGTGGCCCTTCGTGTGGCTTGGCCGCTCAAGGATGTGTGGTAAATACGAGATGCACGCCAACACCCCAAGAGGCTGAGCATAATCCGCGCGCGCCGTCCTTCTGGAGTAAGAAGGCAGGCTGAGGATCCGAACGTCACGGCGGCCTCCCTCTCTCCACAGTGCGGGCTCTCTTGCAGGGGCGGCGATTTGGGCCAAGCCGCTGGGCGACAATCCCAGCTGGACAAACTGGGTACAATCTGTAGCCCAACCGGAATGCGATTAAAATTTGCCTTGGCAACAATGGCGAGTACAACTTAGCGATGCTGTCAGCAGGGTACGATTTCGACAAGCGTAGCACTAATACTGAGTCAGTACGGTGAAGCGTCATCACGATGCTTTCATTTTAGTGTCTAAAGGCATCCGGCGCATTGTCCTGGCGTTGAGTTTAATCGGAGGGCTAGGCTGCGTCCTCTAAACCACATGCAATACCGAATAATTACCCGGCACCTGCACATCAATCCATCTGGTCCTCCCCACCGTCGTCTGGTGAGGACCCCAGCCTGGTGAGGGAGGAGATAGGTGAGATACGTTACCTCCTGATACGGGCGTCTGGGCGGTACCTTCCGTGCTGCTGGCAGCGACCACCGCTTCTATTTCCGGCCCAACTCTGTTCTGCCCGAGGTACCCACAGCCGCTGCAGAAACACGCGCCCCAACAAGTACCTCCTCCGACCCCACCGAGAAAAACAAGGTCTTGCATGGTGCAACAACTGCCTCACCCAAATCCCCACTTCTTTGCTCCAGGCGTAACCACGGCCATCCCATTCCAGTTTCCACGGCTGCAATCCTCTCTCCCGCATACAAACACACCTTATCCAATATTTGTCCGTGGGACGCGTCCATATCATCCCTCACCTCGTCGCAGGCAAAGGGGGAAAAAGCCCATCGTCGTCGCTCGCTTTTCCCACGCTTCCTCGCCCCCTTCGGCTTTCGATCTCCTCCGGCCTCTCCGATC